GATGATCTTAGGAAAAAAGCATGGATAGACTTGTATGAAATAATGAAGAACAAAATGAACAGAACCAAGAAAGCATTGTATACAGTAACAGCAATATTGTTTTGGGAACAACTTTGAGCCAATAAGTCATTTTGATTATTGTAAATATCCAAATTAACTGCAAAGGACATGTGAAAGAAGATCCAGAAAAAGAACTGATGAATAGAAGTATGTGTATAATTATTTTACATATATCTATGTGTATATGTATTATATGTACATCTGTATATATAACATACATATTTGTGTCTAATGGTAACCATCTCTAGGGTGGAAGGGGAGGGAAAAAGAAATATACATGATAACTTGATTACATATTTAAAAGGAATATCAAGTTGTACATATAGATTTGCAGTTTCATATGTAATCATTTTTTATTACACTATGTTATGAAAATGCATGTTTTATTCCATAAATTAAAAATTAATAAAAATTTAAAAAACAAGTAGACAGGAATATGCTGGTAAATGTTTAATAACCAGCTCTGAGAAAATATGTACACATGATACATTTTTTAAATTTAATCAGCATTATTAAATTTTTTCTATCACTTTTTTAATTCTAGGTAATTAACAAAACCATAAATCAAGGTATGAAGCATTTATTGATTTCTATGATATAAATGATCATAATGAAAATTTAACAAGTGCTTCTTGTGAGTCATTTCAAGTAGCACATCCCTGGATTCAGGCTTAAATACAGGGACCTTTATTCCATGTATTGCGCTAAGTCTCAGAAACAAAAACCACTTCCTATGTGACCAATGGAATAGTCAGAAGGAGAGAGAGGATGTGATAATATGCAATTTCTAAGGCTTCTATGTGGATATGATCAAGAACTACTCCTGAATGCTCCCTTTCCTCTAATCATTCTGATTGGAGTCAGCTCAGCTAAAACAAGGTCTGAATTATCACAGGTAGGAAAGAAAGGATGTGAAAGGACATATGGTGAAATCGAGAGGATGCAGAAGACAAAGATGTTAGATGGGCTTCGAGCAGAGAGAGGAGAGAAGCACCTCTATGCAAAAGAGATAAGGGAAGATATTAAGGGAATTAGATCAGGGATGTGAGAGAAAAAAACCAAAGAGGAGCATAGAATACAGATGTTAAATAGGTGGAGACTAAAGAAACCCAGAGTAGGGAGAGACCAGACATCATCTGGTCTTAGTGTGGGAAGAACAGGATTTGGACAAGGAAGAAAGGTGATTTCACTAGAAAGGTGACCCTCATTCCCTCCCTATCTCCCCATCCCAGTGTGCTGTGCAGAAATCCCAAATCCCATTCCAGCATTTTATCCAGATTCCTTTCCTTGTCTCCAGCATAGAAGGGCTGGATTGGGCTCTGTATCCTGAAAGAATTTTTTTTCCTCTCTTTATGCTCTTACTTCTGAGACTGTATATAGAGATCTACTCACCAGGTCCGTCTCTGCTCCAGAGAGAGAAAGTATAGAGTAACATTCAAAGCACATGTGTCTGCCTGCTGGAAAACATATGTGAGTGAAAGCACAGCATGGCTAGGGCACTAGCTATAAATACAAGTTTGTCTGAGCTCATCTTCCCTGGAGATATGATTATTATTTCACCTACAGGAGACATGACGGCCTGCCAGAGGAGTCAAGGCTTTCTCAGATTAAATAAATATCTGTCCCAGGTGCAAATTATTACCCACTATTACTATTGATTAATGAGAATTTCTCGTGAGCAAACACCGAAAAATATGAGACCAGTCACACAAGTAACCAGGCTCAGCTGGATCTTTCCTGAGTTCTTTGAGACATAAAGGATAACAAACAGAAGAAGAATCAAAGAATATTGAAGCCTATGGAGAAGAGGCATGAAAATCCTTTGATTTGGCTTAATCTCTGGACACTCCAGAAGGAATCCCGAGTCCACAAAGTTCCCTTTCATTGATTTCAGGCTGCTTCTTGCTAATCTAAACTCTGAATGTAACTCTTTCCACACTCTTGGAGTTTCTAAGGATCCCTGATGTACAACACCTTCATGTTCCCTTACAAAGATAAGATTCCACATTGTTACCCTAATTCTTTATGTCTCACCACCTAGAATAGGGACAATAGTAGCCAAGTAGCTTTTGTTAAGGAAAATTCCAAACTCTTTGATATGAGTTTTCCATCCAATGGAAATTAACCCATTTCCAGTAAAGAGAGAATAGTGTGTTGGAATGAACATGGATCTTGGAATCAAAATAATTGGTTTAAAACAAGTACTGAACATTACTCACTATGTGATCATGGACAAGTCAGGTGACTCCTCTGAATTTGATTTTCAATATGTACAAAATAGGGATAGTAATAATAACTAACATTTATATAGCACTATGTTCTAGGCATTGTGCTAAGCACTTTACAATTATTATCTCATTTTATTCTTATAACTCTGGGAAGTAGGCATTATTATTACCTCCCTTTTGTATATGAAGAAACTGAAGCAAACAGAGGTTAAATGACTTTCCCAGGGTTACACAACTAGTAAGTGTCTGAGGGCAAATTAGAACTCAAATATTCCTGACTCCAGACTCAGGGCTCTTTTGCTGTACTACCTTAACTCCCTGTTGAGCTTGTTCTGAAGAAAATTCTTTATAAAAGTGAATGTACTAAGCAAATGTATTAACTATTATTCTGAGAGTGTATGGTAGATTAAGACCTTTATTACATCCCAGCATCACATCTTCTATTAGTTAGTATCTCTTCCATGCAGCATCTCTGGCTTAATTTTCTTTTTTTAAATTTCTTTTTTTGTTTTGAGTTACAAATTCTCTCTCTCTCTCCAGCCCCTCCCTTAGCCATTAAGAAGGCAAATCTGGAAAGTATACTAAAAAGCAGAGATATTGCTTTGCTGACAAAGGTCCATATAGTCAAAGCTATGTTTTTTTTTTTTTCCAGAAGCAATGTGTGGTTATTAGAGTTGTACTATAAGGAAAACTGAGCACCACAAAGTCAATACCTTCAAACTGTGGTGCTGGAGAAGACTTTTGAGAGGCCCTTGGACAGCAAGGGCTGTACTTGCATGTAGTGCACAGATTTAGACTCATTTATTCCTACTGTTTCGACAAGAAGTAAATAATAATTTTCTGTTAGGGGGGATCAACCTGGACCATTACTAGAGAGACGTTTCTATTCTATCTCAAGGTTCTTGAGAATTTTATTCTCTGTAGATGAATGTATGTGTTTATGTGCTAGAGAGGGGGGAGGAAGGAAGATGGAAAAGGATAAAGCAAGGTATAGGCAGAAGAAGAGAGCTATCTTGGTGAGAGAGGAAGCAGCGATTCATCCAGAGGAAAACAAAAGGCAGAATTTGAGCAAAATCACTACAACTTGAGGACTTCACAGTTCCTTGACATGTCATTAGAGCACAAGGCCATTAAAAGTGTACCTCAATCTTTACCATTATCAACAAGCAGACATGTATGACTGTGAAAGAGTTATGACCTACATGACCACAGAGAAATGAAGTGCCCCTAATCTGCCCCTGGTCTGAGGGACAGACTGTACTGAGAATTCAGAGAAACTCATAGCTGAAACTAACTATAGGGGTCCCTAAGTTCATTCCAACCAATAAGTCTATGATCATTGGTTCCAAGCAAAAAAATAAAAAAGACAGGTTTGGTTAACAACCGTGACACAATCTTTCATTTGACATTGTCTGTCCTAGAGATGCCCTCTGTCTGAGAAGATCTGAAATTAGAGCCAAGAAAGAAAAGCTGAAGATTATTCATTAGACTGAGTTTCTTGACAACAGAAACTTTCTCTTGACTTTCTTTGTTTCCACAATGATTAGCACAATGTTTGAAACATAATAGGTGCTTAATAAATGTTTATTAATGGTCTGACTTACTAGTAAGCTTCAAGCTCAAGATAGAGTTGAGGTTTTATTAAATCTCAAAGAGCCAAGTAGCACTGTGGGACTTGGAAATCACTGATAATCAGAACAAAGGGGCTACAAGCAGGAAAGCAGGCAATCAGGAAGGTAGAGGCATAGACTAGCCAGGAAGGTGATTTTCCATAGAGCATATGCAATGACAAGATCAACTTGAGTGAATAAGAAGACAAATATGCTGACCAGAAGCAAGATAGTTTAGGTGGCTCTTGACTCAGGGGCACCTCTGGCTGTGAGATTGCTTTTATGAAAACACTGGACTCTGATGGTATCTGTTTAGGACAAACCACATGAATTCACTACTCCAGACCATGATTACTATACATACAATATCAAGAAGGAAACATGCATATATGTATGAGGCATGAAACAAAGTGGTACAACACACAAAATTTCTCAGTGATACTTTTTTCTAACTCTTGGGCCTTTCATATACACAAGAATAACACAATTTGTGAATAAATGCAAGGTCCAGCAGAGGAAACAGAAAGGAACAATGAACTTTGGGATGCTGACTTTGAGCTTTGGCCCACATGATTTCATAGGACTGATGGTGATGGCCCAGAATGTACTGAGGATGCAGGTGGTGTAGAGAGAAAGACCTTGAGCCCCTCAGTGAAGATGACAGATTAGTCATCCAGGAAATTGTTGAGCCCCAAAACAGCCATTGTGTGAGGGATTCCTTTTAGAAGAAGCACCAAGTCATTAACAAAGGCCTAATGGGTGAGAAGAAAATCTACAGGCCTGAGTATGTGACCAAGAAAGAAGGTGATGGTGTAAAGCAGGGTTTCTTAAACATTTTTTAAACTTAAAAACCCCATATGGGGTTGACCCACAGTTTAAGAAGCGCTGGGCCCCAAAATCAGTCTGCAAGAGAAAGAGTATCCTTAATTCAATGTCACTTAAAATCATTTTTTCTTATGTTTAGGGAGCCACCTTTCCATTAGAATCAGTTACTTGGAGAGTACTGTAAGGGATTGATGACATTCTTTGAGATGAGGGAGATATTACTCATGTATAATACAGTCACAACTCACATTGATTCCCATACAGGGAATTTCTGAGAATGTACTGCCAGGTGAGCTTTTGGAAGCAAGTATTGATCTGAATGTTATTAATTTCTAGTTTTACTCCATCTTCCTGGGGGCTTATTTCTGCATCTTGTATTGGTTAAGTTCTACTTTTGCAAAATAGCTAAATTATAAAATCATGATAACATCAGTACCTAACAGTAGAAAGTGTAGATGACAGTAGGACCATTTGGTTGGGACATCATGTCAGGAACTATAGCCTTGACATTTGAATGGCCATAAGATCTTTTCTCCCATGGGATTCATGTTTGTGTCTTTGGATATGATGCTGCTAACTAGAATAAACCACTCAGTAACAGCTTTCTGTTTTCCATGTCTATAGCCATCCAGAAAAGGAGAGCCTGGAATTTCCTGATTTCAGCATTTTTTTTTTCACTTCATTGGATTACATGTGTATGTGTTTGTGTTTTTATGCATGAGTTCACATGCTATTATACATGTGGGGTGGCTGTATTGAGAACCCAGAAGTCCTTGATTTTTCCATGATTGATTTGTATTTCCCCTTCTCTCATGATGTATAAGGGAATTTCCCTTCCATTCTGAGAGAATAAGAGTTTGTTTTCCTTTTCCCTTCTGCAGGCCCACCACAGCTGAAAATATTCCAGCTTGTTGCTTCTCAGGTCTCTACCATTATTTTGTCTTGAGATTCTCCCCACAATTACAGTTGGGGTGCTAAGCAATCAACAGCAATGGTATTAGCACTGCTGGAGATGAGCAGAGGTGAGGGGAGGTTGAAGAGTAAAGGAAGCAGAAGGAAGAAGAGAGAACACCAGCCCTGGCAATGACATGCCCTCCATTTATCTTGTTATCATGACACAGGGTAATTAGAAAATAGGCTTGCCAATGTAATAATCAGACAAGGCCCCTAAAACACCTGATTTGTAGTCAAGAGGCTTCACAGAAATCTTAGCTCTGTCACTTAATAGAAAAGGGATTAAATCCAGTGACATGGACCTTTTGCTTTTCTGCATATACGAGACCCCATTTCCCATCTCCATGCTTTTTATTGGCTGTCCCCCATGCCTAAAATGCTTTCCCTTCTCTCCTCTGCTTCACAACTTCTATGGTTTCCTTCCAGATTCACCTCAACTCCTACCTTCCTTAGGAGGCCCTTCCAGGTCCTCTTCCCTCTCCATACCTCTCCACACACCATTTTCCCCCTAAAATTTCCTCACATACACACTACATACACATATACATATATGTATATAGGCTTATTTTAGAATAGATTATATACATATATTGCTTTAAGCTGTACAAAATGCTATGTATATACATGCTTCTTTATGTATATATGTGTGTGTGTATATATGTGTGTATGCATATATACTAGGTACAATTATTATAACCATTTTAAAGATGAGGAAACAGAGGTTTACAGTGGTTAAGTGACTTGCCCAGAGTCCTAGGGCTAAATGTCTAAGTCAGGACATGAATGAAGTATTTCTACCTCTAAGTTCACTGTTCCCCACTACCACTTTGGCTGCCTTGAAACACTTATTTGTATCTTGTCTCCTCCAGTAGTAAGTGAGTTCCTTGTGGGCAAGGACAATTTTTTAAAATTTCCTTGTATTCTCAAAGATGAACACAGTGTCTGGTATATAGTAAGTCCTTCATAAATGTATTTTGATAATTATGAGCTGTTATCATGCACTTATTATATGACGGGCAGCATGTTAAATTTTGTGGATATCCTACCCAGAAGGTGATCATATTGTAATGGGAAAGATAAGATGTCCCCAAAATTAAATATATCTTATATTAAAATATAAGATATATACAGTGTGAATAGTAGATATCTTAGAAGGTATTCTGAGTCTCCTTCAGAATAAGGCATTTGCCCTAAGTCTTGAAGGAATCTTGTCAAGATAAAAGGCAGAGAGGAGAAAGAAAAAGACAAGCAGCCAAGTGCAGGAAAAAATGAGTACAGAGAGAGTCACAGCAAGGAGATCAACATGAAAACTATTATAATGTTTAGTGTGTGAGTAGATGGGAAGCAACCTTAGTGGGGCTTAACAACATTTCCTAGAGAAGTTAATAGTGGATGAGTGAATTCTAATTGATTAAATATCCATCCATTCATCCATCTATCCATCCATCCATCTATCTATCAATCAATCTATCTATCCCTTTGCAATCTGTCTCTTGCCTTCCTACCCAGGATCATTGCACATAAACCTCATATCATTTACAAGTCTACCAGTGATCTACTTTCTATTCTTCATACTCAATATTTATCTTTTCAAAATTAAATTTGTTTTTTCAATTATAAAATATTTTTTCTCCTGACCATCTTGACCCAGTCTCCAGTATATAACCCAGAGTGATCTACACGTAGAAAGCCAAGAGATAAAGTCAGACATCCCTGATATCCTAGAAGAAGATAAGAGAGGAAGAAATCATAGTGAGCCTAAAGCATAGATATGAGACAGACTTTGTAGAAGAACTCAAAGCAAAGTAAGTAAAGATGAGGCTCTCATCCCTTCCTAGAGGAGGAAAAAGGTGGGGGGAAGACACCTCTGTAAGACAATGTCCTCTAGGGATCATGGGGAATATCTCAGATTCTATACCAAAGTCTTTGCTAGGTTTCTTTCATTTTCCCAGCTAAAGGATTCCTGAATCCAATCTGTCTTCTGAAAGAAACCATTTGTATACAAATTTCAATCAGTGAGGAATGGACATAAAAGTATACTTATTCATTGGGTCTCTGTCACTAGAATAGAGGCAGATCTGAAGTACTTTAAAAAAGATGAATGGGTTCGCGTGTGTGTTGCTTTTACAAGTGAATTTGTGCCAGCCTATGCATGTACTGCCTTTGACAGGAGAGTAAAATTAAGACCCTATTTAGAGTAATTACTTTGTCTGAGCTCATCTCCCCTGGTGCTGTGATTATCATGTCACCTGTACAAGACATGATAGTCTTAGGATAGTCAGACTTGTCAAAGAAGAAGTAAACTTTTTTTGAACAAGTACAAATGAGATTAATGAGAATTCCCCTTAGCAATGATAAATGAATTGATAAATAAAAGCAGTTAGGATCAAAGGGAAGAGAAACTTTTTTAAACTCCTGGGAATGCAGGTATCAGCAGGATTACAGGCAAGGGAAAAATAGATAAATTAGAAACTCAAGGCTAGAGGACTACTGAGACTATGTCAATGACTTGCTGTCATCACTAGGCACTCTAGGAGGGGCCCAAAAGGCTTTTTCTTATTCATTACATTTGACAAATTCACATGCCAGCCTTTGCCCTATCTCTATTTCAAAGTCAGTCAGAATTACCAGAAACACTTGGGATATCCTCAAGTGCCCTTATAGAGAAATGAGCTATACATTGTGAACCCAGTAAAGTCTCACTTCCCTTAAAAGGAGAAACAACATTTAAATGACTATTGTGTAGAAAGTCTTCAAACTCTTCATAATGAGTGCAATTGGCCCCCTCCCCACACCTCTCTGAAAACTATCTTGTTTCTAGGGGATACAGCATGATACTGTGAAATAAAACATAGTCCAAGTATGTGAGGTTGATTACATGGTCTAATATTTACTAGTTGTATTACCCTGGACAAAGCCCTGGACAATGAACTTCAACTTTCTCACCTTTAAATTCATAAAATTCTATGTATAAGGTTGAGGTTGTTGGGAAGAAAACACTTAGCAACCCTAAAAGCATTATAGAAATGTATATCATTGGTCTGGGAGTTTCAGGTAAGCTGATGGCTAATACACAAGTCAACATCCCTCTCACAGAAAAATCTCACAAAAGTAATTTTTGTATGTTGTAAAAAAATAACAAAAAATAGAGAGAAATGCCTTTTAATATCACAGCAGAGAATATTAAATATCTGGTAATCATCCTATGGAGACATGCAAAATTTATATGAATTAAATTATCAGTAATCTGTCAAGAAATTAAAGAAAGGGAGCATAATGTAGAGCAGTGGTGTCAGATTTAAATAGAAACAGCAGCCACTAAAGATCCAAAGGATCATCGTCCGAAAGGATCATTGCTGGCAGCATATTGACTTAGAAATGTACATATTAACATCATCTATGTTCTATTTATTGAACATAGGCAGCTAGGTGGCACCAATAGATGGAGTGCTAGGCCTAGATGCAGAGGTTCCCAAACTTATTTGGTCTACCGCCCCCTTTTAAAAAAATTACTCAATATTCCCCTGGAAATCTACTTTCTTTAATCCTTTAATTTTTTTTTAATTTGCATCATTTCAAACCACTACTACCCCCCTGGATCATTCCAGTGCCCCCCAGGGGGCATTATCATCCACTTTGGGAACCTATGGAGCCTAGAGTCAGGAAGACTCATGCTCCTGAGTTCATATCTAGCCTCATACACTTATTAGCTGTGTAACTCTGGGCAAGTCACTTAACCCTGTTTACCTTAGTTTCCTCATCTTTAAAATGAGCTGGAGAAGGAAATAGCAAAACAGTCCAGTATCTTTGTAAAGAAAACCCCAAAAGGGGCCACAAAGAATCTATTATGATTGAAATGACTGAACAACAACAACAATGTTCTATTGAATTTTTATTTGTTTTGTTAAATATTTCCCAATTATATTTTAATCTAGTGGTGGCCCTAGGAAGTGTTGCCAGACATGTCTTTGGCACCTCTGGTATAGAGTTTGGTCTCAGCATCAGGATGTCTTCAGTTTAAGTCTGTTTCTGTATCATATTATCTATGGGATCACAGGTAAGTCACTCAACTACTCAGTGTTCTAGGCAACTCTCTCACTATACAAATTGTACAACAGTAATGTCTTGCTATATAAGAGGAAATTTCCTCCCCAGGCATTCCCAATACTGGTGAAATCACAAGCCAATTCAAAATAATAATAATGATAACAATGGCTAGCTTTTATAAAGTGCCTTAAAGTTTAGTAGGTGCTTTACATAGCTCATCACATTTGATGATATAACAACTCTGTCAGGTAGCTGTTATTATTCCTCATGTAGAGATGAGGAAACTGA